TCCCCACAACTATTCTTTTGCCCTTCTAATTCTGTTTTGTTTTCTGAGGCTGGGGCTCATATAGCTCATATAGTTTGAGGCTGGCCTCAAACCAGTTATTCCAAAAGTAAAGATCAGTTAATTCCTAAGAAAGGCTTCCCACTGCTGCTAGTATGAAGAGAGGGGGGCAGCAGGATGAAACTAGGGTTCTTCTGAGATCAGGCTGGTTTACTACATTTTAAAATCCTTTGGGGATAATGAGAACATTACAAAATTAATTTTGCAGTCTATGTGCAGACTTCTACCATGAAAGCTAGCTATGATTCTATCAAAATCACTTCAAACAAAATACAACCCCAGTTGTCTTCCTTATTCAAAGGATGTGTTGGAAAAGCCCTTCTGTTCAGTCAATCCAAAAACGTGGGATCACTTAAAACCATTCCTCAAATCATCTAGGTTATTTAAACTTTGCTTCCTGGATTTTATTAAAAGAGTAATGCAATTTGGCAGACTAATTTGCACAGACTTCCAAAATTACCTAGTCCAAGAAAAGTTACAGTTTGTGTGTATGTGGGCATATAAATGAGCTGTGTATTCAGCATGTATTGTTAAACATTCTTTCTATTGAATTTACAGTGTGTGTTTAGTGAAACAATTACAGCTTGCTAAATTGGCTGGCAAATGTCTAAAAGAAGAGGAAGGAGTATTACCCGAGTAGAGTCAAAACACAGTTCTCAGGCTTTCAGTTCCTCTTGGGTAGCTATACCACCGGGGCAAACAACGGTAACTGAATGAATGCACAGGACTGAGAGACGCCGGGCCGAGGGCTGACCGCTGCGGAGTGGCTTGTAGAAAGCTGGTGTGATGAGGCCTCAGCACCGAGCTGCACCCCGAAATGCTGCACGTGACAACCACGGCATAAAGACGGGGCACTCAATCTTAAAAGGATGGGAACTAGAAGAGAAATGTGGGCTACGCTAGAACCTTTACTGTATGTGGGCTCCACAACAATGATGGCATGAGCCTTCCAATATCATCCATTTTAGGGAAAACACTGCAGAATGAGAACGTGGAGAAAGAAAGCCATCCTGTCAAATGATTTACTCATAAAATCACATGCTTTGGGTAAGGAATAAATACTAATCTTTTATATTTAGTAATAGCACAGAAATGAACTGCCCTTTGTATGTATAAGTTAAGAAATAATACCTAACACATTATAATATAAAGGATACTACGCAGAATAAGGCACACTATCATAAGCAAAAATTCTCATGAAACTTGTAACTTTTAAGTTTTTTTTTTTTTTTTTTTTTTTTTTTTTTTGAGACAGGATTTCTCTGTGTAGCTTTGGTGCCTTTCCTGGAACTTAACTCTGTAGACCAGGCTGGCCTTGAATTCAGAGAGATCCCCCTGCCTCTGCCTCCCGAGTGCTGGGGTTAAAGATGTGTGCCACCACTGCCCAGCCTTCTTTTAAGTTTCTTAAACACATGTTTGTTTCTCCATTAGAAAAAAAGTAAGATGGCTTTTTAAAAAAATGCAGATCTGAAGAGCAGACAGAGCTCCAAGTACAATAATTCCTAAAATCTACCTGAGGTGGAGGTAAGGTTTATACATGACCCGTCATACACTAATGATGGGTGATTTCGTTTTGTATGCTGTGAATGTGTTGCTCTGAGTGGTTGATAAACAAAGCTGTTTGGCCAATGGTGAGGCAGAATAAGGTTAAGCCGGACATTCCAACTAGAGAGAGAAAGGCAGAGAGAGGAAACACTGCTAGCTGCCACCAGGAGAAGCAAGATGTAAAGCCACGTGGCAAAGTATAGATTTATAGAAATGAGTTAATTTAAGATATAAGAGCTAGCTAGCAAGAAGCCTTCCATGGCCATAGTTTAAAAATAATATAAGCCTCTATGGGTTTAATTGGGTCTGAGCAGCTGCGGGACCAACGGGTGAGAGAGATTTGTCTTGACCATGGGCCAGGCGGGGCACAGGAAAACTTTCAGCTACACACCCATTACTGTGTTAGATAATGTGCAAAGAGACAGAAAGTATGGCTGTTCATCAAAAAGTAGTTACATGGGAAGTGTGACAACACTTGTACAGATGGTTAAAATGCACTCAGCTATGCTGTTGGTTAGAAATCTGTTCCTTAACATGTAGTATATGTTTAGTAAACTATTACATGCCAGGGAAGGTTTCCAGATGTTCACTGTAACATGCTCACCCCATAAGATGCTGCATTGTGAAGTGGAATTAAACCCCCTTTGTCCTGGGCGTTGACATCAGCTCCATGCTCTAGAAGGTATTCAGCTACTTCCAGGTTATTGTAGCCTGCTATTAGAGTAAAAAGGGACGTGTCAGGTCAAGAGAAATAAACACAACTCACACACATCTATAAATAAAGACCAGAAAAATTTAAAATTTTAAATTTTTTCTTCGAAAGCCAATACTATCTTCACATAATTGAGTCTCTACTAAAGTGTACAATACATGTCAGTCTCTCTCACAGACACTGCAGGCACCAAGCATGAGTTGGAGGTCTTAGGGCAATCTGCAGGAGTTGATTCTCTCCGTTGACCACACGAGTTTTGGGAATTGAACTTGGGTTGTGAAGCTTAGTGGCAAGCACCTTTAACTGTTGGGCTATCTCACCAATCCTCTTTCACCTTGCAAGCCAAGTGGTTAAGCACCTAGCACAAAGTTTAGTAGTGTTTAACCGAATATTAAAAAGGACAACGGAATGATGCACAGTGACACTTACCTGCCAGGTGCAGAGGAGTCGAGTTTCTGCCCTGGGTGTCTCTGCAGTTGATATTCTCTGGAGTACAAAGCTTCTGCACTCTGGCCAGGCAGCCCTTCTTGGCAGCATCCAGCAGGGCAGCATCCCCCCTTAGTAGGTCCTGAATATCTGTGTCTCCTTCTTTGACCAAATCTAGGGGTGTATTTCCATCTCTGTTCTTCTTGGTTGGATCTGCTCCATGCTGGAAGACAGAACCCGCACGGTGCCTGTGTGTGCGTGGGTGGGCAGGTAGCATATCCATCATCTACTCAGTTTGCTGTCTACACCTTCACTTGTCTGGAGAGAATCTATTCTATAGGCGCTTTGAAAACAGGAGTCCGAGCCGGGCGGTGGTGGCGCACGACTTTAATCCCAGCACTTGGGAGGCAGAG